AATATTTGACTCTGCGCTTAGCCTCTCCCCCGTGAAATTGCTTAATAAAACGTGTACACACATCGCGCTTTATAAAAGCTCCGGTGAAACGTCGATTTTAACCTAGCCAACATTTATTCTCATCCTCTCGAGAACGAAATCTCCTTCCTGTTACACGGCACACGGAACGACAATAAAACTGTATATTAAAATAACAATTTAAAAGCAAGCCTGGCGCATGATATTATTCCAGCGCGAGATTTACCGCTTTAATAAACCGGGATAAAGTATAATAAAAAGGCAGTGGAAAAAATAGAACGAGGCTAGTAGAAGAGAGTGGAGGAATAGAACGAAAATTTTGTGAGTCTCTCATAAGCCACCGCAGGTGTATAAATACGAGAATAGTCGTAAATCATCGCGCGAGCTTATGCGAGACACTAAGACTGCTGTACACTCTCGAAGCTTGAATATTCCTCGAGGACCATCCGTCCTAATTCATCGCACGTTCCTAAATCATCACCCGGCACACCGGGCATATTGATATCAGCTTCTCCGTGTCTAAATCTGCCGGAAGAATACAAATCCAACCGACGTTCCCCATGATCCACATGCCACCGGTCGGGACTTTGAAATTTATCGTGGACCGCCAGTGGTGAACAGAGCAACTCGCCAAGTTGGACTGGAGTTGGCCTTTGAAATCGAGAAGAAAGCTTGGAAGTGTATTCATACGTGCATATACCGGGTACCCCAGCTAAATGGGACATCCTAAGTACCTGTCTTATTTTTTTCTCTACATTTGAAGCTTCTTGGGGCAAAATTGCATTGTTTCGAGAGCTACAACCACGGTTAGAATTCTTTCTCGGGCTCATTTTTCAAGGAGACTTCAATGTCGTTGGTATTTCTTTCAGTGACACAGTAGACATTCCTTTATTCAATTTTACAGAGCGAAAGGGAAGATTAATTTTACGAAGAAAGGGAGAAAAGGACGGAATGTGGAAAAAGATAGCGACCACCCTGTAATCTCGTAAAGGGAAATAAGGCGGATATTTTGACGATCGCATTCAGCCGGGACACTCTGTATATATCGGTATCGTTTGAATATTTCATGCGGCTAAGAGAAAAGGAACGGTCGTTCGTGCGAAACGATACAAGTATAACAATTCCAGCAGCGTTTCGCCGATGGAGCTCCGTTGGATTAAGAGTTCCAGCCGACTCGTTATTATTATTCACGAACAGCCCCGAAAACTGGTACCCGCGACCGACTCGCGTTATTGTCGTCCTCGTAAAACCGAGTTCGTCAGGTCCCACTTATTCTTTTCTCCTTTTTCCCCCCCTTTTCTCCTTTCTTTTCGAGCCTCCGCCGCGCCCTTGGTCCCCGCGATGCTTTTCTAGTACACCACCTCGAGTCGCTAACGAGCTCCACTTTCCCTTCTTGTTCCCCGTTTACGACCGCCGTTGTTTAGAAACGAAGCACATTTCGACGACCAGCGGAATTTTTTCCAACCCCCCTGCTTTCCCACGATGACAACGTGACGGGGAAAAATACGGTTGCCACTCTTAAATAACGCGAAATGAACGGCGACGCGAGGTAAAATTAGATGGAGCGGAAGTTAAAAATAAAATGGTAGAAAAATAGAGAAATTTCGAGATTCCGATACTCGAAAAGCGAGAAGTTGCCTAGATGTTGAAATTTGTGAATAAAAGAGAGGTTATCTTAGGTGGAAGCCTGGTTTTCTCGGAGATATTAATTTTCTGAGAATCACGAGATTTAACGGCCATTTTGGAGAACGCGAAGAATTATGATTGTACGTTTTACACCTGGTTGGAACTCCTACGGGATTTCCAGGCTTCCCGTTTGGATAGAGTCGCTATGAAAGCTAGCTTACGATCCACGGGGTCGCTGACCTGCTCTTCCGCCAATTCACTCTCCCTCTCGTTCGTTTCCTGGCTTCAGAGGAAACTCAAGGGTGGAAACCTAGCTAGACACTCGTGGGATTTTCGATAGAGGATCCTGATCCTGACCGATGACAAGGGTGGAAAGGATGGTGACATTATGTATTGGACATTCTTCTCGAAATCCGCAATCCGGTTTATTTATCCGCTTGAAGTATTTCGGCTGAAAGACTGTTTTCGCGAAGAGTTTCGACCAGTTTCGTTTTAACATTCAATTTTTTAATCACTCGCGTGAGGATTAATCATCGCTGATAGGTGGTGATTTATTTTTACGCGATACTTCACTGGTATTTTTACTCCTGTATTATCTGACTCTTCAAAAGCGTCGGTGAAATTAATTTATTTGATTCGCTGTGCGTGATAAAAACTCGGATAACCGATACGTCACGAGTGGATATATGTATCTGGCTTCGCGCTGTTCAAATTTCACAGCGAGATTTATGTGTCAGAGCAAGGAACGTTTAACGTGAGCCTATCATGCCCCGAATGTTCTACTGAGATTAATAAGTGTACCTTTTTGTCATCCGGATGACCTGTCTCTGTAGCTAAGCCGAGAAAGAATTGCCTGGACAGGTGATCGATAAATTCGGCTCGACCAGTTGCTTCTTATGAAACAACTCAAAAACATCCCCTTCCCTGTAAATTCCGGATTTTATAAAAATTCTACCTTCCAATATTCGACTATCTCAATTTCTTTTTTTAACTTTATTTGGTGAAAGAGAGAGAAAATACCGTTTTAAGATTCTCTTTAAAAGCAGTACCGTTTGCATAACAGTACTCGAAAAACATCAGAATTCCATAGTTTATAAAAATTCTACCTTCCAATACTCGACTGTTTCAATTTCTTTTTTTAACTTCATTTGGTGAAAGAGAGAGAAAATGCCGTTTCAAGATTCTCTTTAAAAGCAGTACCGTTTACATAACAGTACTTGAAAAACATCAGAATTCAAGCATCTACAGAAAATCTCTCAAAACCCACGGTCTCGCTTAATTTTCCTTCCACCATTGTTGGTTGAAACCAACAAAATCCTCTTTACGAGTCTGAAAAGGCACTAAAGTACGAGTACTCCAAAAAAGTCCATCAAAAATCCTAATTTCACTCTTCTTTCACGATCCTCGAACAAAAGAAGAAGTCCTCTTTCGAGAGCTCGAATTTAAAATCCTTTCAATCTCGCAAGCTCGAAAAGACCATCGAACTGCAAACTAGCGAGGGAAAGACTCTGAAAAATCGCGATTCATTTTCTCGAAAGACTCGAGTTTCACACCTCGGCACAGAGAGGAAGCTACTGAATCGGAGGAAACACCGATCGAGGTGCCGATGGGAACTGCGACCATGGCTGTCGAAAGTGTCTCCAGAGATTAATAATCCCCCTTTTTATCCTTCGCGTGCCCCATTGTCTCCGGGAACCGACCCCATCTTCTGCGATGGACGGCATTCTCCGGTTGATCGATGAGCCAGCTTGACGTCCGCGGCTTCGATCGGGAACGGTGAAAATTAATTAAACGACCTAGCTACACGCCGCTAATCGCTTCGGCTATTCGTCGCTGTTGTAATTAAAACGGTCTTAACCTCGATCTGGAGTCGACTTCTGTTCGGCGAGGTGGACTGCGTTTAATGGGCGGTCTTAGGAAGAGCGATCGGTGGCGGTAAAAGAACAAGCGTAAGCATGAAAGAAGGATGACCGTGACGATCGGTCGTGACCGTTGAAGAAGGTAGACGACGAAAGTTTCGTGGACGAAAGTGGCTGTGTCTCGGGGCAGAATCGATTTATCACGTCGATCTCTGAACGGTGGTCGATTCGGACGAAGAAGGGATCGGTCGGTGGAACCACGGTGACTAGGACGAAATAGCGAGCCCGGGATATCGATCATGCCACGATACGGTTCTAATTGAGGGGAACCCTGGGAACGCGAGGCGTTTATTATGATTGCAAACTACGAAGGTGAAATATGGCCGGCCGAGATTGAACGCCGACGCGGCGGAACTCAAATCGGTAACGGCATACGAAACGCATAAATCGTGTATCGAACGGTGCAAATGAAGCCTAGGAGAATTTGAATATCAATGAACGATGAGGCGTGAAGTGTTTGGTCCTGGAGTTTGGCCAATTGAGTCAATATTATCTTGTTTACCTTTGAATTTATGCATATTCCAAGTTATCCAGGGTACACAGGAAAACAGTAAGGCTTTATAAGCTTGATGCGTGGAAAGAAACTATTCAACAATATTTTAGATTCGTGGGAATTTCTTCAAATTTGTTAAATAAATTCTTTCGAACCTATGGATAGTATAGGTGTTACTTCAGGAATTTAATTCTGTTAAGATGATATTTGAGAATCCTGTTTGAAACGTGAAGCACTTCGTTGCTGAAATATTGGGTTTCAATTATAATTGTAATTATAAATTACAATTTCGAGAAGATTTCGGAAGATTTATTTCGGCTATCCTTGATTGCGGAATATACGATTAAATCTATTGATATCCTAATCACTCCGATCATCAATCAGGGAAGACGGTTCTTACAAGAACTGCCAATCAGTTTGGAAAAGGGATGGGGCTGCAATCGCCATCCATCAATGCGCAGGGGTGGAAAGTGATTCTTTCCTAACTTGGGAAGAAGATACCCTCTCCAAAGAGATAAAGGAAAAATTGTGCAATAAAGCAATAAAATGACTGAGTGTCATTTTCAAGCTTTATACATTGTCAAAAAATTCTGATTTACCAAAAACCACATAACTAGCTTTCTGAAAGCCACCCCTATCGTATTGTAAATTCCAGGAACCAATCTGCAAATCAACTCCAATATAAAATTTGGGAGAAAAGAATCGAATGAGACAAACCTTCGCGGAAAATACTTTTCTCTCGTAGAAACAATATTTTTAATTTTTAAATATTAAAATATCCCTGTGTCTCGCAAAGTTAGTAAAATGAGTACACGCGTATAAATATTTAACGAACTCGCGCGGTATTAAAGCAGCACGCACTATCAACTTTTACCGTAAAAACCGATATACCGAGGAATGCTGAGCGATCAAAAAGCGATTAAGAAAGTTTTATCTCTTTATAGGGTGGCTGGGAGCAATGTCGACGGGAGTGGCTCTACTAGTTTCACCCGTAACAATAGCGTTTTGTCGGAGAAAAAGTACAAGACTCACCGCAGTTTTGGGTGGCCTCGTTACAGCACTCGGCTGTCTTTTCACTTCTTTCGCCTCGCAGTTCCACCAGTTGTTCTTCAGCTACGGCGCCGTGGTTGGTGAGTCACTGTAACAATGTAATAGCGATAAATTAAAAATCCCTGATCCTTTGTCTGACTTTTCGGGAAAAAAGAAAAAAGCTACGACAAAAGGTTCCACGACTCGTATAATTTCCCTTCTGAATCGATTAAACGCCACTTATATTTCGTCTCGAGCAATTGTGACTCGTCTATTACGAGTTTCCTTATGGGACTTCTACCCCTGAAATTCTTAATAATATTCTGAAGGAAGACGATTCGCGTGAATAATTCTCTGGGTAGAAGGCCACTTTTGAAATGAAATATTAAAGGAATAGCGTAACTTCAAGTTCATGAACTATATTTAATTACTTTCCAGGTATAGGGGTTGGCATGACGAGGGATTGCAGCACGTTAATGGTGGCGCAATATTTCAAGAGACGTAGAGAACTGGTCGAGATTTTTATCGTGTCCGGAAGTGGCCTTGGTATCGCAGTTATGTCGGCTTTTATAAAGGGAATGATTAGGTAACGTAGTACCAACTTCTTATCTGATTCTATCTGAACTGTCACGAGGAGTTTAATCGTCTCTCGTGTTAGCTTATCGATAACAATTATCTAGTGAAATACACTAAATTTTCTAAGAACGAAATTCGTGAAAATGAATTTTTCTTTTTTCCTAAAATGAAATATACGAAAAATTCTACCTTTCGATTTCAGCAAGATCGGCTGGCGTTTAGGTCTTCAGGCAGTGACGGGCGTAGTTTTCCTCACGTTCATCTTGGGCACATTTTACCGCAGTGCGTCCCTGTATCACCCGCAACGCAGAGCCATCCTGCACCTGAAAAATCAAAAGCGTAAAATTAAAGACAAGAACAAGACCGACGACGGGCCACCGTTCTTCGACTTCAGTACGCTGAAGAGCAAAACCGTAAGAATACTGCTGGTGTCCACTGGAATATCTGCCTTTGGAATCAACACTCCGATATTTTACTTGGTAAAATGCACGACAACACGTCGCATAATCAATTCGAACCGAAAAAAACAAAATGCCTATTTTCTGCACGCTTCGAAACAAAAATTTGCATAGATGCGATATTAAGATCCAACATTAACATGTCTCTTAATAAAAAGACACAGAGAAATGCGAAATTAATTATTTTTCGAACCGAGTATAGATTTTCAAACTTTTCGTTACATCATAGCATCATCAAGCAGAGAGGGAGCAATCCTTACGCTCTTTGAAATAAAAATTTATATAGATGCACTTTAGTAATACGAAGATATCGCTTAATAAAAAGAGACAGAGGAATGAAAAAAATATTTTTCCAAAGGAGCATACTTTTTAAACCTTTGGTTACCTCATAGACCTATCAAACAAGGAGAGAAGGCCTTACGCCTTTTGAAATAAAAATTTATGTAGATGCACTTTAATAATACGAAGATGCCGCTTAATGTTAAGAGGCAGAGGAATGGGAGAAAAGTGATTTCTCGAAATTTTTATTTCGTCACAGGCCCATCAGGCGGAGAAAGAAGGCCTCGGCGACACGGTGATCCTGCTTCAGGCTTATCTCGGCCTGGCCTGGACCCTCGGCTGCGTAGCCTTTGGCCTTTTGGTCGTGCATCGCAGCGTCGAATGCAGAATTGCGCGTCAGTATCTCACGCAAGCGGCGGTATTTGTATGCGGATTGTGCATTCTGGCCCTCACCGCGGTGCAGGGAAATTATCACGGATATGTGCTGTTCGCCTGGATTTACGGTACAGTAACCTCACTCGTAAACTCGCGTGTGTACGTCGAAATAAAAACCTCTGCCCCTATGAATCTACATCTAACTACTCCGTAATTTCACGAATTAATCTTCTCCCTTCTTTCCAATGCCGTAATTTATGCACCGGTTACACTGTGTGTTTAACTAGATCGTTTAATTAAGTCGTAACATCGTATCTTGCAGGCATCTTCTGCGGCGGCTACCATTACAGTCTGAAAATGTACACGTACGAGAGAGTGAGGGCGAGAAATTTCGCAAGAACGTGGGGCTTGGTTCAATGTTCCCAAGCTATCCCGATAGCAATTGGAGTTCCAATCTCTGGTAATCTTCGAGATATTTCGATTGCTTTGAAGATACTTCAAAATTTATCACTTTCAGGAATTATTACTAAAGAGCACGAGTGTTTGCAGGGTACATGAACATCGGCTATGGCGGAAAGGCCGGTTACTACTTCAGCTCGACCTGCGTTCTGGTAGGCAGTTTCACGCTGTTTTTCATAGACCTTCACAGAAGAAACTTGTCGAGGCATAAACACACCAGGTCAAACGGGACCAAGCACATCTGCGTTTCGGAGAGTTGCCCTCAGCGCCGCAAGTTGTCGTTCAGCCAAGAACCGGACAACGATGGCACCCACGTAGCTGCTGCCGGGGCTGCTGCAGCTGCTCTGGTCCTTGGTACCGAGATTGCACCAAATCCAGGTATTTATTTCGTTCCTTTCAACTTTACACGCGATACTAAAGTTTTATCGAACGATAAATTAAACACCGGAGCGAGCTAGTGAAAGTACCAACCACGTTTCAGGCGAACTGATCGACGGCCTAGCCCCGGAGAAACCCGAGTTAACCTGCATCTCCGAAGAAGGGATCGCGGACATGGATCTTCCCGACAACATGCTCGAGGATCTCGATTACATCGGCGATTGCATAACCTCGTGCAACAAGGTCGAGAACTACCTGATGCTGTCGGAGTTCGAGAACAATCTGATAGCCGAAATGCCGATCATCACGGACCGTCGAGGTCGAAGATGGTCCCTAGCTCGATCTAAGGGCGGTCAATCCAACGTGGATCGACTCCCGGCACCTCAACCGGCGATCGAAGAACCGGAACCCAAGCCTAAATGGCACGCGACGAATGTGCCTCCTAATAACAGAATGATCACGGTGATCGACGAGGCCAGCACGTAGCTCGATCGTCAACATCACAGCCGAGAGAAGGGAAAGATCCAAGGAGCCGTTGACACGCTCTCGAGGATGATTTCGGATGAGATTCGTTATAAATGATTACTCGAATTATTTTAAATTACGATCGTTCATTTTCTCGCATAAGTTGCGTGGCAAACTGCGAACGCGAAGGAGGAGTATTTTGCGAATTTTATACCGATATATTCGTTGATCGCAATGGTACAAAACGGATGGATATTGTTAGGCGATTGTTACGCGGTGCGTTTCGAAAGTGGGAAATTAGAAGAAAGGATAAAGTTGAGAGAGGGTTGGCAAATCTGAGAGGGTTGATAGGTCTAAGAGGCTGACTCTTCTCGTTATCGCGCTGCCTTCGATCGTCTGTCTCGTTTGTTCCTGTTTGATTTAAGGTACCGTTAGAGATCGTATTAGCTGATAGTTTGCGAACAGTGGCACGTCAATCTGGACAACGTAAGGGATTCCAGTAAGGGTCACTTAATTCGCGGTGCAATTAAGGACAATAACGTCGGCTTTCGACGAGAGGAACCACGGAAACGTTCCGTCCACATGGAGATAACCTCGACTCGCGTCGACGTCCTTTATTTAAGCTTCGTGCTAGTTCACTGCCACGCGTAGATGCACGAGTCAAACGATCCTTTGTCCGCGTGACGTCCGAATTTCAAACTTTCCGTGTCTCCGTAATTTCTTTTTTTGTTTTCTTTTGTCCGATATGTCCGACACGAAGTAAACGAGGATCGTACGACTCATGTCGGTGTAATAAAAGTCGTGACCTAGAGCCTTCTTCGAAGGATACTGCTTACACGTAGGCAACGCTAGCTAAAGATATCGAAACTAGTCCAAACGAAATTCGTATGCAGCGATAGATGGTATAGTATAGCGATACGAACATGTAGCCAGATACAAGAGTTTATCCTTGTACCGTCGCTCGAGCCATTTTGAGAGAATCCTACCCGCTGTGCAGATTTCTCTCTGTGATCGAGCGAACCGCGGCCGGTACAAACGCGAAGAGATAACGACACTATTTATTTATCAAACTATTTATATTAGAATTATACATACGCATGGCATGTACATATACACAGTGACGCGCTTATATACGTGATAAAAGAGCGTATACAGATGCGTGTGCTGTTATAACGTAGATTACCTTTAACTCCTTGTCCTACGGCGTCGAAGATCCCGATGGTGCGTGGCACAGTCAATAGGTCGGTCACAGGTCGAGTCACTTCGTGCGAACGCGACGAAGAACAACACGCAACTGAGTGTGAGACAGGAAATATCTGCGAAATTTAACCGCGAGCCTGTTCGAACCTGACGATGTTTACGTTTGATTCTACAAACCACGCCTTTGACCTATGTTACTGGTGTTTGGCTCGATTCCTCACACGGTATCGTAGACAAAGGAGTTAAGGTGCTCCGATATAGTTGACTAAGAACGATTTAAAAGCAACCGAATACCGAAGAGAAAATTTGTACAGGGAAATCAGACTGGTGTTTTATGGTTCTTTTCTTTTCCCTTTTCTTTTTTATTTAAGAAGATGATAACTTTATTCGAGAAAAATGTCAGTTCAAATTAGGAATACCGATGAATGGAAATTCATGGAATGTCATGGTAATCGGCAACCAGTCGTAATATTACTTTTAATAAGACGTTATTTTAATGACTCGAAAACCTGCCTGCGTAACTGGCGTTTAAGTTACGTTTATCGTATTACTGTTATCGCGGCGATAACACAAGGCTACTAGTCGAACGCGTTGTATTCGCAACGCGAGGAACAATAATTTATGAATCACTTGTTTATTACACGCTGCAACAACGGAAACGACACCGAATAAACTGCCTATATTGTAATATTGTAACGCTGTTAATACAAAAACGTGATTTTATCAAGTACCGCGTTGTTTCATTTACGATTTTACTCCTTATTACAATTTTATTCCCGCTGGAGGGGAAGTGAATAGCAATGAGAGATAAAGAAATTATTCACGGTAATTCGTACGAAATTCTTCCGGCACAATTAGATTTTCTTTCATTAACCTACTTTACGCATACACCACTCGCTGCAATTAACTTCTTAAAGCAGAGATAACGTTGCACATGGTTCGACTTGCAGCTCTTCCCACGACCAGGGACGTGAGTAAGTACCCGCGTTTCTTCGTTCCTCGAATATCTCAAATTAATGACTGCTCGGTAAAGGATTGTTTTCTTTCAATATATTGGAATGTCGGTCGTCTGAATTAATAGACAGACAAATTCGTTCGGTTGAATTTTGAATTATGTCAGAAATCGAGTGAAAATTGGAAATCTTTCAAACATACATTTTCTTACGTAAGTTTCAAATTTCTACTTTAAGTATACACGTACGTGACTCGGTCTACACTCCGGATAATTATTACATCGACTATGCAGATTTTCGTTAGACGAATGAATAAGTAATCAGAGGCGAATGGAATGCAAAATGAATAAAAAGGGAAGTGAATAATACGAATTGTTTTCTTCGACGAAACGAAGAGAAATTCGTTTTCTTTCCAATTAGGATCGCAGAGCTGCAGATGAAAGATGAATTACGCAATGGGAACAGTGCAGCCGAATGTTCCATTACGATACCGGTGTACACAAAGCCGATAATACGACGTTAATTACGAATTCTTGGTAGCCAGTAGTAAAACATTTGTTACGTGCATTGGCATGCGAGAATTATCGAACGCAACTCGGTGTGCAGCGACTACGCTTTATCGATAAATTCTAACTCGCTTTAGTCACGATCCGACCTCAGATGTGACCAATAAACCTGCGATTCGTACGATTTTCCACACGATTGCTATTTTCTTCCCTGCTTGCTGAACTTTGAATTCGGGATTTCTGAAACAGCCTAATAATAAATCGAACGCGAAGCAAATCTCTGCATATCGATCCTTCGATTCTTTGAAATCGTATAATAATTACAATCAATCGATCTCGTGTACGTACAGAAATTGATTGCGATACAGATTTTATATACATTTTATTGCAATTTGCAAAATTTGTTATCTTTGCAGTCCAGTTGAATTGGACAATAGCAACGTTGATCTTTCTATTTTCTGTAAGGTCAATTCCCGGATAATTTCTAAAAAGGTGATCGAGTCGTATGAAAATAAAAAGAGCTTGGACAAGAATGGGATCAGACGGTTAATTGCGGTTCAACGTAATCGTGTGCGTTAATCAGTGATCGACAGGTTGCGTAGGGCAAGAGGTGTGTTAGCAGCGCTGACGAGCAGTCGCTTCAAGGCACCCCATGAAGGTGCCTTCCTCGCGTAGCCTCAGTTAGTTTAAAAAGAATTCCAGCTGTCCGATTTGTCGAGGTAAGACGTCAGATTTCTGCGAAAAAATCCTACGAATCTCTCATATTCTTAGCTCAGACTAGATCTCAGATCGTTCATTTCTCGATCAAAAAGCAGTGCTGTTCTAATTGGCGAACTTTGACTATACCTTAGCAAAAACGCGATAATTGCTGCACGTGATAAATAACTCGATCGAGTGGAAATTTTGCATCTTGCTGCGAATGATGTAGATCGTGTTTTAAAATTCCTACTTTTCATTTGAAATATCTGCTTTGATTAATGCATCTGGGCTAAGATTTTAATTTCAATTCCTCGTTTGCATTTCTGCATGTCTTCGAGACGAGATAGACGTAAACAGGTGGTACTACCAGTGTTTAGTTGTCACGACTGTGCTTGATCATGGAAATCGAGACACCTGGAACGCGATAGTAACTTTTGATAAGGGATACGTTATTTTTCAGCGCTCCAGAACGAGCGAGGACGAGAATGCCCTACGGAAAGTTGCACGTTCTCCCGTTGAGCCTTTTTATCTTGATTCCAGTGACGTTTCTCATTACGTAAGTCTATCGTGGCAAATACAATTTCTAATAATAAAAGAAACAATTTTCTTTTAACTCCAATAAATCAAAAATTGCCAAATATGCTCTCTTTTAAAAATAAAAATCTACCCAAGGTAACTTCAACGATCAAATAACTACAAAATGTCTGAAAAATTATCGATGATTAGAATTATCTGTAGAAACAAATTTGAAGTTTCTTCGGTTCCTGGATTCAGCCTTGAAAGTGGATGAAAATGGAAGAAAGAGTCGAAGAATTTTATTTCCATAAATTATTCCTTCGAAGACACGGTGTCGAGCAATTCTCTGTCAAACAAGGATTTATCGGAACAGTGGTTCACGATAAAAAGCGTAATCGAAACGCGAGGAACTAATGCTCGATATGCTTGTTGGCTAGTTTACGGTCGATCAAGGCCATGGTATGAGAAACAACGACAGCCACGCGTTCTGTTTCTGACAGCATGGTGCAAATCGCGATTAGTTTGATTCATTATACTCCGCTGTGTACGCTTCACGGGGATCATTGTTCTGTAAATAAAACCGCTTTCAATCGCGCATGAGCGATTGAATGATTCGCAACATCGAAACGCATCATGCTCGATCGAAGTGCTCCTGCCGTTAAAGGAAAATTATACTGAATCTCGATGATTTTATCGCGATATTTCGCGTGCATGTTAATTTGCTCACCGAGATATCGAAGGTCAAAATTCTTCGATTCTCTTGCTAATTAGAAAAATTAGCCGAGTATTAAGAATTAAATTGTGTACTTCAAAATTTGATCTCCAATTCGCAACATCGCGTGTTGTATTTTATTATTTGCTAAGTTACGATCTTTAGTCTAATTATTCGAGTTAGAATCTTTTTAAATTAAATTTCGACTCGATTTAAATAATTTAAGAAATAAATCTTAACGTAATCCCAAGATGTAATTACTCGAGCTTTCGAATTAATCACGTTTCAGGTACACGATGTCGGTGCAGTGGGACCATGTGGTACCGGGATTTCCATACATATCGGAAACAGGCACCCTGTCTCCGGAATCCTGTATATTTGCCCAATTCCTTAATATAGCCGCGTTGCTCCGTAAATTTCGATCAGCATTACGTTGAAAAGTACCCGTTTATTCGTCGAATCCCGTTTAACGTCAGCGTACGTGTGTATTTTAGTCGCCTGTTGCGTGTACATCAGACATCGACAAGTTTCCCAATGGCAATTGGAAAGGGGTAACGATCTCGTTAGCAAGAAAGTCGTTGTTATGACGGCATGGTGCGGCGCCTTAGCCTGTTTCGGACTAGACATTTTGGCGAATTTTCAAGAAGCCCGGGTAGTCGCGGCTCACATGATCGGGGCAATGACGTGCTTCACAGCTGGAACCATTTACTTTTGCCTTCAGGTGCGGTATATATTTAATACCCGTTTATCCTTAGAATTACCAAATCAGTCGAGGTGGTTCTGACTGGTTACAGACTCTCGTTTCTCTAATTACCAATCACGCGTAATTGCTTTCGGTCGAGACTTCTGACTATTAAATATATTAACTCCTGCTATTAATTAAAAAGCAAAATACGTTTTAAAAAATTAGTTACGCCACTGAAGATAAGGAAACAGCTATTCGCATATATTATAATTAATATTCAACATTTTCAGACGTATCTGAGTCAGAAAATGGTGCCAGCAGTGAACGGAAGGATAGTGGTATACATTCGCGCAATTCTCTCGGTTCTGACGTTAATTCTAACCATCACCACGATCTTGCCCGGCTACATTTCAATGTTAGAGTTCCAAGGTAATGTTCCGACGTGGAATAAAAATTTCGAGACAGGAGTAAAAGGACGATGGAATAACGAGGCTCGCATGAGTTACAGGCAACGATTACAAGAAATGGCTGCCAACGGACGGTGGCTGGGGCTGGCACGTCGCTAGCGCCATTTCCGAATGGGTCCTCGCGATTGTTTATTGCATTTTCCTCCTCACCTTCGTGCCGGAGTTCCGATTAATCAACTTCGAGGATCCTGTGGTTACGGTACTTCTTCCTCGTTACATTAATTTTGCAATGAGTACAGGTATTTCGTCACGTCGTAGGTACGAGCAATTAACAGCGTATCCCGATTCATACTTTACAATGTCACGCCTCTCCTACGTGTTTACAGCCTCAAAGTGGCTACCCGATAATCGACGCGCGATTAATCTTATCGCGACGGAGTTGAATTAAAATACGAAGAAATTTACTTCTTAATAATCCCCGGTCTTCTGTTTTCAGCTGATATACCTAGACAAGAATCAAGATTTGAAATTGCCGCACAAGCTGAGCCCGCAGGTTCAAGATACTTAAAAATTCCACGAATGTTTACGCTGCTATTGAGTATTAAATTATGTTTCCTCTTTAATGTGCGCGATGCAAAATAATTTTAATTAATGCTACTTTCTATGTGCATCTTCCTTTTGCCTTTACCTCCCACGATTATCCCGACTGCTTAGCGCGTTACCCTGATTCGCAACCCTATTTGCCAACAGATGCCGACGTTTCGTTGTTCTGGTGGTCGATAAAGTCCGTCGCTTGAAGTAGCAAATCGCCTGATCGATCCAACAGACGAAGAATCTCGAATTTTTTGAAAAAAAAAAAGGATAGAATATCATACGAGATCGATCTCGAAAATTACAACGACAAATAATTGTCAACGTCTAATATTAAACCGAAATTTCTCTCGACTCTTCGTACATTCTCGTGAAAAGTGCGCTTCGTCGACGAACGTGATTTATCTCTCTTCCTATTCACTCGATCGAACCTGCTTCTGGTGATGCAGAAATTTTCCAGAAATCTTAACCTCGAGTGCTACCCGGGATCGAAGTACAGGAATGCTGTCCGCAGAAACATTTCCTACGCTTTAACCGAATTTAGAAGTCCTTGAGAATTAAGAGATTATTAAAGCAAGAAATATGTAAAAGGGATATATCGAAAATCCGTCACCCGGAAATTCCACGAAATACCCACGGGTCACCTAACCAAATCGACTTTCATCGAGAAACGAAGCCTGCAGCTGACAGACCAGGCTAGAGTTCAAGAAGTCCCGACTCGATAGTTTGGATTTTCCACGAATATCCGCGACTACAGAGAACCCGGGGTACATCTAAGTTGGTGGAAAAAGTAGAGACCCGGCAGAGACGTAAATTCGTTAGGAGAAATTCATTTGAGCAACGGTCGTAAAGCGAAACAGCGATTATCCGAGTAGGGTGCGCCGGCATCGATAAGCGGCACACGTATATACATTATCGAGACACGATCGCGGGTAGAACCAGGATAAACGTTTGTTGGAGAACGTCTGCCAGTAACGACGTCGGCGTCAGTCTCGTGGCGCAGCTGCTGAGAGCGCCGTACTCGCTGGCACAACATCGATCGCGCACAGTCGGCCATAACCTCTGCGATTCTGCTCGCTCTTCACCCTGGCCTCTCAAACAAAGGCTCGAGACTCGCGTGGGTGCAAGGAATCGGAAGAGAAAGAAGAACCGAGTGGGATTTCGCGTATATCTCTTCGTACACTATCAACGTGACAGTGAGGAGAGTGTCGGGTGCTGTTAGGTGCCGTCGAGTGCTATTGGGTGCTGTTGGGTGCGCTGAGAAGACCTTCAGCCGTGTGCAGCCCCTATCGAAAGAGTTTCCAGTTTCGGTGCAACGCGACGAATCGTGGACAGCTCGTGTCGAGGGGAAGAGGAAGACGGTGTGGAAGGTAGAGACGACGTTTTCGCGTCCACGTCGGTCAGAAGAGTCGACTGTTTTCGAGTGTCGTTGCTACGCGGTAAGGCTTCCCCTGGCATTTCGCAGCGAGGGTCCCCATCCCTGTGTGTCCCTAGACAACGCCCGCGTGAGAATATTTGCAACGAGCTGTCTCGTGCACGCGTTTCGAGGCGTGTCGTTCTTCAGTTGTCGACAAACTGTCGCGGTGATGTGTGCTACGGCCACTTGCTGCAACTTTCCTGCTTTGATATCACGCACGATATTTCTGGCGCGCAGTTCGTCGACTAGAGTCAATAGCGCACATGTGTCATTTGCATCGTTCTAATAGTCTCGCGTTCACACGAGTTATCGTATCGAGTTATCAAAAATAATTATTCCGGAGTTGTCCTGAATTCTCAAATATCCCCTGAGTGTATATACGTATACATAGGTGTATATGCCACGATAGAATCGAGATATTTATAATACCAAGTGTGAATCGAGCTATACTTACAGCTGGTTACTGGAGAAACAACGACGTCGAAAACAGAACGAGTTTATTTCCCACCGTGTAGGCTACCACGTGACACTTTGTTGCTTTTTTTTTTTTTTTAGTCAAGGGTACATAGATCGTGGGAGGAGGTGGATGGCAGTGGAACTGCAGTGCGGTGGCTCCATGCATCGTAGCGGCTGATTCCTACGGGGAAGCAAGTGGTATAAGAGGTCCAGCCTCTTGGAACAGACGAGCATGAGTGCTCGTGGCTCGTGGACGCGTGCAACGACGCGTGTGTCTCCTCGATAGCGACGTCGTTCGCTGACGTCGTCGCCTGACGTCATTGGTTCCGGCGGGAAAATCGACGATAACCGCAAACGCCCACTGGAAACATGGACAGAGAGGACTTCTTGGTCAACCTCCACTACCTGCCGATCATCCTGTTCATTTCGTTGCCTTCCGTTTTCATTTTGACGTAAGAGAATTATCACGAGTTACCACCATGATTCGTGTTACTCGACTATCATGCTGGCAATTCCTTTCATGCTTTCCTTTCTAATTGGCTCGGAGATATTTCTTTCCGGCAAAAATTCACCTACGCACATGCAGTAGCTGCTTGCGTTGATCAAGTCGGCTACCGAGTCCGAGCGCTTTCTTCTTTTAGTTTCGACAAAGAAACGAAACTTTGGGCGTCTGATTGTATGCAAAGTGCAACGGGAAGCATTCCTCGATTGAAAATTTGGATTGCAAATTGCACGAACCTCCATGACCAACCGCGAATGCTAGCTTGCGCGATTATTTTTCTTGGTAATGTTATGAGAAACGTATCGATATGGACGAAAGAAAATAGCCATTGCAAGGACAATAAAATTATACGTCTGATAACCCGAAGAAATATTAGATGGACCATATCTGATTCATACAACGTAAGCAGATAAAACGTCGAATTAGCATCTGCTGACGCATAATTCTCGCTAACGTGCATTACTTTGCATCCATTGAATATGCATATCACTTTCTAAAACTCCCGATTAACGCTTTGCTATATCTTCCTGCTAAAGAAAAGCGCACCGTCTATGGCTCATCTTCATTTTTCACCGTGCCATCGACGAAAAGTTTGTTGAAGCTTTACGAAGATTTATGACTCGATCAAAGACACCGGTTTATTTGGATTTTGCAGTTACGTAATAGCAGTGCTGTTGGGCCACGTGGAGGCGACTTTTCCTTACATCTCGGATACGGCTGCCTACGCACCGGAAAGCTGCATATTCGCCCAGTTTATCAACATGATCGCTATGTTCAGTGAGTGCACCGAGTCGACGACGAGTAGATTTGAAATTTTCGATACAGTCGGGGCAAGGAAATCGATTGACACCTCGCACATGGTACAGTGACCTCGATTCTCGTTCGCTAGGGAACAAGCGAGAGTTTCGTAGAACAGAAATAGCATTTGATTTCGAGGACGAACGTCGTCAAACTTGTTTCCATAAATTTCAAAAAATGGAAAAAGAGAGGTACACCGAAACTGGTGCGAATACCGGGTATGTGTCGACCGATGAAAATTTGTCATGCATTTTATCGATAAGAGACGATAAAAGGATCGTTGATATGATTTTGAATTATAATCGCGTTATGTAATTAAGGTGATATATTAATACCAGATAGTAGTAATTCCTGTTTCGTTTAATTATTGCAGTGTCATTCGTGATCTACATACGGTATTCCATAGTGAAGGAATGCTCTGATACCTACAATCTGCAAGCTTCTCTACCAAAATGGAATTACTGGGCTTTAATATTTGGCCTAACGTCAACCTTCGGCCTCACCGTGGTCGCGAATTTTCAAGAGACTTCCATGCTCGTAGTGCACTTTGTCGGTGCTCTTCTCTGCTTCGGTGGTGGCACCCTATACTTTTGGTCACAGGTACGTACCCTCTGTGGTAAGACTTATTTACGCAAAATTCTAAATCGACTTCTATTTACGCGAAAGCCGACATTCCGACGAGACCAACATAAAATCGACAATTCCTCTCTATAATTATCCCTCAGCTCCTGAGCTTCTTTCGTTGCTCAGCTTAATAACTACAAGCTTCCGCTCTGCTCGAGTAAAAATTCAATAATGCACATCCTTGGAAATTTTCCATTTCCCTTTAACAAAGAGTCGAACGCAGCTTCCACCTGTCTCGATGAAACAACGATAATTGAAACTTGTTAAAAGACCGTGGATGAACCGCTTAATGTCTCGTAATTGGATCTCGCTAAATGAAGTCTGATACGTGACTTGCGTAATTTGCTGGAAAGCTGATTTATCCACGGTCGCCATTGTCTTCGGTTAGCCAGTTCTTTCATGGCTCTCATTCTTCGCGCGTTTTGTTTCCAGGCTGTGTGTTCGTTCTACATGCATCCACTTGGATGTTCGTTGAGACTGGCGCATCTACGGACGGCATTGTCCACCTTTTGCACCGTTTGTTACACCGTGACCATCGTCACCGCAATACTGTCAAACTTTGCCTATGAGGGTTGGTTCGTTGCGTTTCCCTCGCCGATCTTCGCGCTCCTCTCTCGCGTATTAACACCCACGACCTTTGTTTTCAGGTAAGAACCCTCGAAAATGGCACAAGGAAGACGGTGGTTGGGAACTGCACGTGGCTAGTACGATCGCGGAGTGGATGTGCGCGACGGCATTCTGCGTGTACATTTTGACGTTCAGCAACGAATTTCGAAACATCAAACTGAGCCATCCGAAGGTAGATAAGGATAAATATTACGATAATTAGTCAAAGAGGATGAGAATTCCACGTGAACGTTCGCATCGAGTCAATGTACCCTGGAATGTTAGGGATGCGAGTTTTAGGATAGGGTGCGAGAGAAGGGTGAAGCCCCAGGTTTTGGATGGACTTTGAATGTCAGGGTAGACTGAACGTATTTAATGGAAGTACACTGTGTGCAAGATGCGTGCATGAGTCATTCAATGGAGGAGTGGCCATATAGAACAGACAAAGAGTGAGAGTCTCGCGTTATGAGTTTTAGTGCTGTGGCAGACAGTATAATTGAACCACTTACAAGCCAAATTGCACCTTATGAATCAATTAAAATTTAGTGCCATATCTTAGTGCGAATAAATTTCTACTCTTCCGTGCTTTCTAGCGCAATTTACACTTTGATTCGTAACTATTTTAATATAATTATTTATATTCTCACTCGGTTATAGATAGTAGCTGACGGATAACATTTCCTAGATATAATTAAGTTATTTTAGAAATTGTTCTATTTCTCTGATAGCAAGTTTAACGTATTCTTTTCGCACCCAGGTGATATACACCCTGAATCGAACAAGCCTGAGCACCGAGGCAATAAGTGAGAGCCAGGACTCCGTTGTAGGTCACAGTCGAGACCCAACAACGATTACTTGATCGCTCATAGGCAGAGGCGCCGGTGGTTACGTCAATCTCCTCTCTCACTCTCCAGTGAACACCCCGTGTCCCGGTTACAGGTACCGTGAATCTCGAGAAGCCCTTTTGGACGAAGTCGCGCCGCTTGTACCGACGACACCACCCGCGACCTGTGAGATCGAGGGGAGAACCGACGTCCTCTGCCCGGTGCAAATACACGTGCATGACCCGATGATACGCGAGCGCCGACGACAAACAAGCGAACAGGACGACGTGGAACAGACGCAGAAACGGGGTGAGGATCGTTCGAAGAATTGGATCGACCTGGATGAGAACGTCTTAGACGGCTACATACTGATAGACGATTCCTGTCTCGAATCCGGTATCGTACCCGACGAATCGCAGGAACTACCTTACCCAGAAGGGGCCATAGACATAGACGACGAGAACGACGACGCTAACAGCCACGGTAAAGACGAGTCTTCGATTTACAGCAGAGCGAGACGAGAAGGGTCGAGGATACTCAGAGAAGAATTCGATCAAAGCTCCACCTATCCACTGGCGAACAGCCACGAGAACGCTTACAAGGAATCCAGCAGTCACACCAGGTACACCGAGCTATACTCGGAATTGGCTATCAGGAATTATCTGGAGGCTAATCGCGACGAAGTCGGTAATTATTCCGTGGCCAACAGTCATGGCGATCACAGCATGTCATCGGAGAACAGAGAACGAAGCCTCAGGGAGAACGTAGAGACTGATCAGCTAGCCTGGGACACTAGACAAAATACCAACTACGAGGTAGCTAATAGTCACAGCAATTACAGGGTGTTTTACGATAGCCAAACGCAGCAGAGGGAGCTGTTGCAGGCGGTCGGTTGGCCGATAGAGTCCTGGAGAGAACATCTGATCGCTAATAACTACGTATTGGAAGACCAAAAGCAGCAGTCGGAGAATCCCGAGCACGTGGCTACCGACGAGTCCACGAAAACCAGGGTGCCGGAAGCGAGAAGTAATCCTAGCTCTGAACCAGCCTGCGATATCGAACAGTGTCTCGTCCAGATAGAGGAGAGTCTCTTGAACATCGAGCAGAATTTGCTACACGTGCAGGACCTCGATATACCGGAATTGAGGAATCTTTTGTACAAAAGTCCAAGCATCGAGAAAAGTCTTTACGACGTTCAGGACCTTCTCTATTCCGACGGTATCGTTCCTGTAATAAACAAGAGGAGGTCCTCGAACCACGCGTCTGACGACAAAGACGAGAACGAGGAAGAGGAGGAAGAGGAAGAGGAGGAAGAAGAAGTTTGGGAAGCTCGCAAGATAACCGTGAAAGACAACGACAACGAGGACGACGACGCTGGTGCTGGCGTTTTCGACGCCTCGAACGAAGAATCGTCAGACACGGCCAACATAGACGACAACAATCAATCGGGATCGATGGAAGATCGCTCGAACAACGACTGCGTGGACAACTCGACGATTTTTCGAGAAGAGGTCGCTGAAGATCCGAATTGCAACGAGAAGGCCATGAATTTCATTCCGAACAGCCTAAACAAAACTCTGCCTAGGAGAATCGTCCTCGACGAGACCAAGGAGAACATCAGGCTCTGTTCCTCGGGACCCGAGGAAACGACGTTGATCGACTACAACCTGAACACCACGTGCGCCGAGAAGAAGCTGTTCTGTCTCGACAAGTGTCACAGTAGGACGAACTCTTTGGACGAGAATTCGACGTTCTCGAATTTGGATTCCACTGACAAACGCGAGCCCGGGAAGAGCTCTCTGCAGAACTTGCTGTTCGAGTCGACGAACGGCAACTTCTTGGACTTTCCCGGGAAAGCGAGGTCGGAAGAAATGCTGCAGGCATCTCAGAACAGATATCCGAAAATGAACAAGAGGTCAGACGACAACCGTCGATCGATCTTGCAGACGAAACCGGAGGATTTTCGTAGGAAACTCGAGTCCATTGGTTCCAATCGACGATTCACCGAGCAGAAAAGCGTGAACGAGCAGAAGAGAGGAAAGATTGCGAAAGAATCGAGCGTAAACCTGCCGAATGCAAGCGAAAAGTCACCCAACAGAACCAGGCGTAGCACGGTCTCCGGCGACAAGGTTCAGGACAAGGACAGAGACTCGAATGGCGGTAAAAGTTCCGACAAGAGAAAGAGAAAGAAGATATCGAGCAGAAGTCAAAGTTCCTCGGAGAACGCGTTAGTGCCTAGCAAACTGATCTCTCTTTCGCTATCTCTTCTCCTCGCGGCTCTATTGCAAGCAGTCAGGTGTCTGACGGACCTCGTGGAGGACGCGTTCAGGTCCGTCAGCTGCGACAGAAGCGGCCTATTGCAATAACGCTATTCGCGAACGGTTGTCGTCCGGCACGAGAACCATTCATAGCATTAGTGGCATCCGCGAGATATCGCGTAAGAATGGTAACGTTAGATGGCACTAACTACCTTTATTTTTCGTCGCACTTCCACACGGATACTTCCTATCGAATACTTCCCGTCCAAGACCAGGTTTCTGTCAAGGTGACCGTCGTCCTGTTCTACCAGTAAGACCGACAGTAAGAATGTTCTTTCATCGGTGTTTAGGAATTTTTAGACTTTTCGCTCAGCCTTCTGAATGTGATTAGCGTTGCAGTGTCGAGTAAACCCGATGTGTATAAAACTACCGACCCGTTCGAACTCCGAAACGTACGTAGACATTAGCGATAGCCGAGAAGCATAGCAGACGTTCTACTTTATCGAACAACATTCACGAGATACGCGGAAATACCGTCAATAACGAAAAGCTGGATATTAATCGTAATCCGTGTCACCTATAATACTCACCTCGAACTTGCGACGTTTGCCATAGGTGTTTCCCTCGCAGAGTTCCATTGTAATTACCGATGACAACCAAAGCAACCGTCGCACGCGATCAATTCCGATTCCGTACAATTGATACAGACGACACGATTTTTCGAACGAATCGGACGCATGGTCCGTGCAATGTCATATCGTTATTAGAAATCCAACCATCACTCATGTCGGTATCACGCACGTGTGAACGTCGCTCTTCGGTTCTACCATCGATTCCACGAAATCACCGAACGGATCAAAGAATCGTATCGTCTGAACTAGCATCTAGCCAGGTCACCTTAGCAGACTACCCAGTGAAACTGGTCTTGGATCTCGCGGAGGGAGAAGGTCATCCTAATCCAGTGACTTCCGACCACGATGAACCTATGATTTGCAACCATAAACGTCCAGAAGCTGCAGCTGATGTCTGTGATAAACGCTATGCTTACGACCCACGATTATGTTTTTACACGATACGCTTGCAATACGAGAAAAATTTTAATCGTAGGTAAAGATACGACTCGTTCGTTGATATACACGCTCGTTCAATAAGAATCCGCAGCCTTCAGGCGGAGAAGGAAGACAGACATTTTCCCTATTTTTTCTTCGTTTTAACCTGTTCTTATCTTCTTTCCTTTATTCGTATCATCGAGAATCCGATGGAATGGTGCTATCGCGTGCAACCGCCGAGACGCGAAAAGTTCGCGCAGAAACGAAAGCGAGGATAGCGTCCCATTGGGACGCGATCAGAACTTTCTACGAGCTTCCAGAGAAGGTGTTTACGGATCGCTAGACGGGTATGTGCCAGAAACGATGACACGGCGTGAAACGATAGTGCACGATAATAGAAAGAAGAATGCCGCAGATAAGTCTTATCGATGGAGCAAAGTACGGGCTAAGCATGTTACGGTATTTAGCACCGCGTACGTAACGTTCTAAAGTGCCTAAAACTCGTCGCGTATCGCGGGTACGCGAGGTGCAGTACATATTTGTCTAATTGATTAAACTTTAATCTAACGATTTAACGCTACTTATGTCTACCTATCGTAAGCCTCTTTTTTCAAGGTGTAACACGTTGCTGAGAGGACGAGGAAAAAAGTAATATATATGATAAGAAAAGGAGAGAAAAAAAAAACAGAAAATAAAGAAAAGCGGAGCAAGCTTGCGAGAACGCTTACAAACGCGTTTGTAATCGCTTCTGTGTGTGAATCACTTTCATCCCATCCCCGAGTACTCGTCCTTCCCTGTCGTTCCGCGCGGCCATAAGCACAAAGGTCGAAGTTTAGACCCCAGAGATGGGCAAATTAATTTCACCGTGCCAGAGATGATCGGGTTCCAATAAGAAACTTTCCGACCAAACTCGCGAATCCATTTTGGCAAAGTTCATCCACGCTTATGATATTCGCGAACCTCCAACATCGTCGGGGCATACCTATTCTTGAAAGTGAAAAATCTCCCGACTCGGTTTCGTTTGTTTATATGCACTCGGGTAAAGAGATCATCCTTCTTTCAGGTAAACTGATGTAAGAGGATTAAAGTCAGTTTCGTTCCACACAGGTACACGCAACATAGAGATTTAACATCTGACTCTCCAAGCTGGGTCTTTCGAATTTTATTTTCATAAATCTCCTTTCTTCCTTACAACTCTTCCCTTTTATTCGTGCATCCTATTCATTCACCCCTTCACTCGTTTTCTTTATTCCACACACTCTACAGTTTCAAATAGTTAGCCTTAGAAGTCTCAAATCTCAAGTCTCTCTAAATAAAATTTCCCGACAAATTCATTTTTATCTCCAAGGAATACAGTCGCTCCTACGATTGTTCGATGAATTAAGAAAAATCGCCAAAGATCGATGAATCTGTAAAAGATAGCATCCCCGAGCTGCAATTACATCGCGCGACAGTTGCTCTTGACGGAGAATCGCGTTAGCCCCGCGACTTTTTTCATCCCGACAGCATCCCCTCGGATCACCGAGCTTCACCATGAGATCACGAGGAAAACTCGCGTTACTGCACAGTTCACAATTCGCATCCACGAAGAGACGCACGGGGCGAGAGCAGTGTCGATCGATACCCGCTCATCGCGTATGACAACGGAGGTCGAGGCTATAGGAGCAGAACTCTAACTTCCGAACGTTTCCACGGTCCATACACGACCTCGTGCACCGGGACACGCGTGCAGCCTGATTAACGCGAGATTCCCCCATGTTCTCGACCCTTATCCACTAGATCGTTAATTTCAATTAACACCTGACCATCGGTGACCGGCTGCAACGATCACCGATACCGAGAACCAACTCTCGAACAGCGGCTACCCTAAATATAACGAGAGAACGATCGATCGTAGTTGCCTTTGCTACTTCGCCACTCCCGCCCCTCGTTCTTTGATTTAATTGACACGACAGATTAACTCGATTCCCACGTTGACTCATTCAACGGCTGACAATCACTCGCGACGTACTATCAGCGATTTCAGTCGCTGGACAAAATAAAATCTGCCATTGATTCCCGCGTTTGACAGAACTCGGAACAGCTGCGGTGGAATTGCTCCATCGGGACGTGATCGGCCATTCCCGAACAAGGCCGCCGTGCCGAAAGGGTTGATCAATCCCATGGACCCTCGTTAGAAGTCTGCGAAACTTTCAGCACGAAAGAGTTCGATGCGATCAGGCTGACAATCCGATCACGTTTGATTCGTCCGGCAAAGACGCCGCTTCATATTCATGCGGACCTGTCTCCGCTAGAATTTTCAATTAAGATCCACGGATCCAGTCCGCGAACGCGGAACACACTCGGAATACATTAAAACGCTGCGACAACGGGGCCAACGAGCGGCAGCTTTCGTACAGAGCTTTACGGCCGTTCTCGAACGGTTTACGAAGTTCTCGAGCCCCGTCTCATCCTACCGTGAGCGGATATTGGCCACGGCAAGGGCCGTCCATAACCGCGGCGATATTGCCATTTCGTCGGATATTTACTGCCCGCCGCTATATCAGGACAAATAATATTCTTAGGGCTCGTCTCCCCGCGGAATATCAATCGTTTAGAAAGCCATCGCGATCCTACTCGCTCTTGCGCACCCGTGATAGCGACGTAAAGAGCGCATTTATAGGAGACCAGTCTCCAGATGTTCCTCGCCTAATGCTGAAATATACCACCGGTGACAATAAAATCGAACTTCTCGTTGGATAAATCACTGCCGGAATCGGTGGAATCGCCGGAAGGCCTCCGACGCAGCGACCGAACGCCTGGCTCACAGCTATCCGTGAGAGATCCATGAGGGATCCATAAGGGAACCGTGGAGGCTGCGCGAGTACCATTCTACGGTTCTCGATTTTCAGCGATACGTTGGGATTACGGCGAATCGTGGAGCAAGATGGCGGCAAAAACGGGTATCCCGTGGCAGAAGGGCAGAGCTATAACGAAATTCGGTGGATGGTGGGAGCGTGTGATCGTGTGCTGATGCAGTCGCAGCTTGAGGTCGTCATTTGCATGACTCTGTGTTGCACGAACTGAGATATCGTTCTTAAATTGCCGTCGTTACCATTTGACTTGGAACTGATTGCGCCAATTCAGCGACCGTCTCGGTAATAGAGCCGCTGCAAGTTTGTATCTAGATTTTGGCTATCGCGAAAATGGAGTCGGGAGACGTTGCCTAAGCGTTTATGCACCATGCGTCCTCGAGTTTGCAGCTGGTTGCGCTTCCTATGAAAAGCGTTTTCTAATTTCCTACATGCACGTGTTATCTCGCATTTTTCTTCTCTTTTTCTGCCACGAAAATAAGCGTTATTAATTATAGCAGATAAGCGATTTTAAGCTGAAGTTCCGAGCTTATCGCACGAACATTTAGAATGACATGCACGATCTCGTAAGTATATCTCGATGGCAATTAGAGCTCGATTTAAGCACTTACCGTCGAAACGATGACGTCAAATGTAATTTGAAATATTATTTCGCAATTTATTAAATCATCGAAATTGAACGGAAAGGTATAATTCTCGTGTAATTACTTCTTTCTAAATAATTTTTCGCATTTTCTCTTATTATCGATCCTCCGTGTATATTCAAACGAGTCGTTGGTAATAAATCATCGCACGCGTCTAATTTTTCAGAAATTAATCCGACAACTGGTCGTAATACCAAACTTACAGTCTACTTTTTATTCAAATCGACTTATCAAGTTCCCTCTAACCCCGCATTATAATCCGTACCGTCGCGAGATTAGTTGACGCTGGATTTCGCTGCGTAATGCAAAATTCTGTCGTGGTTTCGCCGCATTACCTGACAACACTCCACTTTGCAGTCCATAAATTTCAAGCAGATGATTAAAGCAGAATCGCGACGCGCACCTTTTTGATACCGGGATTAATGTACAACACGCGCGATTGTTATTAGGGAACCTCGCGGTAGAAACGGATTGTAGGAACGGATTGTAGAAACGGATTGTAGAAACGGATTGTAGAAACGGATTCACGGGTGGAAATGTAATAAAACGGGAAGCGTTGCTGTTGCGGTTAAAGGAACGTAGGGAAGCCATTCGCTTTACGTGGCTAGAATCAACATCGCCAGACCGCTATCTTCATAATCGCGGTTTAAAAAATATTTTTCCAGCTGGAAAGTAGGTCCTCCCGTTTTCGAAGATAATACGCTCGATTTACGCGTGGCGGTTCACTCGAGCGAAAATACGTCGCGGTACTTTTTGAGAGCAGAAACGCGGAGGCACTTGCAAGTATTCGGAATTGATAACTCACCATGTGGAACGAGTGATTCGTCGACGTTAAATGAAACTAAAACACGGCGTAATTTTATAGGAAGTAGCCGAATTTAATATTCATCAAAGCGTTCGAGTGCAGCGTCGAATGTCTAAAAAGGAACAGAGGGGAACTCGTTAATTTTAGCGTCCCAATTACCAATTAGGGAACAGAATCTGCTTGAAACCCGGTACAAGAAGATACGCAATTTATGAGTCACTCGGAGGCTTTTTCGAACCTAAAGTTAAAGACCGAATTTAAATACTTGAGCAAAGGCTTTTTAGCTACCTGTCGACGTCCGTGAAAAAAGACCAGCAGACGTTCCGTTCCATTAACGAGCATCGAACGAAACGTCGATTTTCAGTCGATATTAATGAAAAGAAAGGAGGCGGGCTTAAAGGGGTTGGAGAAGAACGTCGATCGAATCTCGTGGATACCAGGTCCAACGGGGGTTGATTCCGCTTTCGACGCCGCCGTCGAAGAAATTCTTTACCAGTGACATTCGCGACATGTCCACGACACTCGGCAGCTCGTAACGCGAGCAATATGCGAGAACTCGACAGCGAATTGCAGAGCATCTCTGCGTTAAGTTTCTAGGAGATAGTTCCAGCTAGTACCAAAAGTCCAATGGGACACGTGCAGAAAATGGAACCAACTTTCAGCTGAATTCGACGATTTTAGAAGAACATTGCTAGAATTCTTTTCTCGTCTCGAGGATATTCAACTTGGACGATACGCTTCTCCTGTAGTCATCAACGAGCAATTTCATTCACCACCTATGTTCCACGTCGGTGAAAAAATGTGAGTCTAGAAAGTAAGAAGCGAAGCAAGATTTGCGAATTTTTGCATCCTATATTCTTCATCTTTCGAAGTACCTGGATTGTTAATTTTTAATTTTGATATACCTGTGTTTGGAAAGAAGTTGTTTCTTAATGTTCCTCGACAAATAAACAACGAATTTACACGTTGCGAAAAAGGGAATTGGAATGATTTTGCTGGTAGAAAGCAGGGAAAAGGGGAAATAAAGTAGGTGTAGAGACGAGGCTTTTGGATTTGATAAACAGGAGAGATTGAAGAGGGAAAAATATGCGAGTCGAACGCTTTGACGATCCGCATAGGTGCTGTTTAAAGGAGTAATTGAGATAATATTCTCTTTTTCACCTCTTTCAGCGGCCTGCGCGTAAAGCATGCAAATGTTTACTTGTTTAGTGGGTAACACCTTTAGTAACAGGTTTATGCGATGGAATTGGTTATCGAAAGTTTCTGAGAGAGCAATTTCAAGTTTTGAAAACTGTTCGCTTGTGTTCCATCGTCGGTTCTGAATATAATGTGCGATGCAAAGAACGAAGCTGTTATTCCACCGTTAGACATCTCGAAGGTGACAATCCATGATTTTA